TCCACGTCCGGGGTTGGGTGGCCGGTTCGCATGCACGCTGGTGCGGCGGAAGCTGCTGGGCCTGGGCGGCCCGTGCCCCCAGAGCCAGTGGCATAACTCGTTGGGGCTGTGGGTGGGTGGGGGGACCGAGCCGTGGCGAGGGAAAATGAAAGCAGGTGATGCGGAAGGAGAAGTAGGTCAGGCGAGCGCTGGCCTCTCCCGGCAGCCTCGTCTGCGCTGCGTGCTCCGCTTTGCCCTGGCTGTCCCCGCCGTGTCCCTGGGCCCCATGGGCAGCGGCTGGAGGGGGCGGTGAGTATGGGTCCTGCTGCTGGGCACTGGGTCCTGGGCAGGGTGGGTGCCAGACGCTGCCTGCCCTGGGTGCTGGCGGGCTGGGGAGTGCAGCCAGGCTGGCTGGCACACAGTGGGCACGGCAGCGCCCCGGCAATTTGGCTTCGGTTCCCCTCCCGTGGGTATCCCTGGGGACGTGGGGCTGGGGGCTGTGGTGAGGATGGGCAGGAGGATGCTTCGCTTCTGGCTCACACAGTGGCTGACAGGGGGAGGGGAAGGGGATTCCCATCCCGCTGGGGCTGTGCTGAGCCAGCCAGCACGGTGGGGACATCCCAGTGGTGCTCAGGGCTGGGGATGGTTCAGGGACGGTCCCGCATGCCATAGTGGGGCTCCATGGCTGGCTGCCCCCAGCTCCGCTCCACCACGGGGCTATGGGACCAGGGCAGGGCTGGCCGGGGTCTCACTTGCGGCGCCACGTGGGTCAGGGAGGCCACGGCAGGCACGGCCCTGCTGGCAGAGCTACATGGGCTCGGGGGGGGGGATTAGAGCCGCCTGCCCCCTCCTTTCCTCCCCCGGGATCAGCCGTGGGCAGCGGGGAGCTGGCAGCAGGCAGCTGCCGTGGGGGCGGAAGCCAGGCTATTTCGGGGGGTGTGGAGGGGGGGCCGTGGGCTGGCACTGTCCTTGCCGGGTGACCCCACTGGGACCAGCACCGCCCCAGTGCCAGGATGGAGCATCAGGGCCTGTCCTGCGCCAGCTCCGGCTGGTGCTGCTCAGTCCCTGGTGTGCCATGAGGGCCTCAGTCCCTGGGGTGCCATGAGGACAGGGACCCAAGGAGGGGAGGAGATGCTACCAGCCTGGGGGGCCCCCAGGGCCGTGCGGTGCAGTGGGACCCGGGGGTCTGGCTGCCCTCCAAGGGGCTCCCGTGACTGCGTGCTATGGGGCGAGCAGCGCCGGCTCACCCTGGGGCTGGCGAGTGGGACCAGCTGCGGGCAAGCCTGCCTGTCCCAGGCTGCGGGCTGGCAGAGCCTTGTGCTGCTGCCACCGGCACCCCTGTGCCCGGGACCGGGCTGCTGGGGTGCCTGCGGGCAGCCCAGTCTTGCTCCATCCCAGCGGGGTCCTGGGCAGGGCTGGGCTGTGTAAGCCGAGGTGCAGCAGGATGCCCAGCTCCGCCGTGCCCCTGTCAGTTCTGGAGGGGTGGCCTGGGCACGGGCCGGGCTTGGAGCCCCTCCGAGCGCTGCCCGCCCTGACCCCAGCCCTGTCCCCCTGGCCGCTGGGGGACCTGGGGGTGGGTTTCACTCCTTGCCGGGGTCATGAAACGTGGGGTTTGCTGTTGACTATTTCCTTCCTGTTCGCCCCCTCCCCGAGCTCCATTTCAGCAACCCCTTCCTTCCTTCCTCCCTTCCTTCCTCCCTTCCTTCCTTCCTTCCTCCCTTCTTTCCTTCCTCCCTTCCTTCCCTCCCTGTGCCTGCTCCTGCCTGCGCGTGGCCCCGCTCCCCCGGCCGCCCTGGCAGGGAGCAGCCGGGGACAGCCCGTGTCCGGCCTCACATGGCCTCTCCCCAGCGCTGGGGATGGTGGCGCTCACAGCGGGGGGCCCAGGGGTGACCCACAGAGGCCACACGCCCTCAGCCACATCTGTTCGGGCCACCCATGGGCGAGCAGGTGGCTGTGGGATGGGCAGGTCGGGGTCCCCAGCGTCGGGACATGGTGCGGGAGATGGGAATACCCTTGGCTGGGGTGCCCATCCTGCCATCGGGAGAGGGGCTGGTGCCGTGCGGGAGCCAGGATGCTGCCAGAGCCCATCCCGGCTGCATGTGGGATGGGGCCGTGTCCCATCACTGGTGACACATTGGTCAGGGTGCCACTGGCCAAGGCAAGGGCGGAGTGTGGAGGAGGATGGATGAAGGTCAGCCCATCCTTCCCAAAGGCCAGCACCTTCACAGCCTGGTCCCCCCTGGGTGGGCACCCTTGGTGCCCCCCAGCCAGGGCGAGCAGCAGTTTGCGGCCAGCGCGGGCGCGTGGGTGGTTGCGACACCCCCAGGGTGGGGGGGACGTGGTGACTCACCCCAGCGGGGCCTGGCCACCAGCGGGAACCCTGAGTCAGGGCTGCGTGCCCATGCCGTGCCCCTCCCTGCCCGCCTCGCCCACCTTATCTCCCGCCCTTAGCACCTGGCACACCTGGGCCAGGGGGGGGCTGGCGCCATTCCCCTCCTTTATGGGGAGCAAAGGGCAGGCAGAGGGTTGGCAGGCAGGTGCCGCGTCCCTCCCTCCCTGCCGGGGATGCTGGCCTGGGGCCGTGCCCCCCCGCCAGGGCGGCCGGCCAGCCCAGAGCATCGCAGCAACATGGCGGGCAAGGCTGCCTGCACCACCGCTGCCTCCTGGCCACATGCTGCCTGCACTCTGGGCATTGGGCTGACCTGTGGCGGCATGGCCGGTCCCTGCCTGGCACGCGGTCCCCGGTGATGGGGGAGGCGGGATGCCGTGCCAGGGCGTGCTGGCCTGCACAGGTGAGATGCCGGCACGGCTGCTGCCCCTCTGCCCGCCTGCCGGCTCCACTGCCCGCTCGTGTGGTCGGGCTCTTGCACAACCCAGCTCTTTCCGTGAACGTTGCTGGGGCCAGAGGCCCCCTCCCTGCCTGGCTGCGCGGCTACACTGGCACAGGGCTCTTCCCCTTTCTTCCCGGCCTCGTGCTGCCAGCAGCACCGGCACAGCTGCCCGGAGCCCGGCCGGGGCCGGGCTGGTGTGGGCGGCCGGGGCGGGTGCTGGCAGTGGGGTGTGGGGAGCACTCCCCGGGCTGCTAATTAATTGCTGTTTAGCTGGGGATGCAGAGGGTGTAATTATGGGGGGGATTGCACGAACCTGCAGCCGGCCCCAGGGGGCTGTGGGGGGACGGGGGGGCCATGCTCTGCAGGAGCCCCTGCCTGGGGAGTGGAGGG